AGGACTCATCCCAGTCCCTCAACGTATGGTTCTGGGTCGCACAGAACCACAAAGGCACTTTTTTGTCTATGGATGAGGCTAAATGTTTTTGAAGGGGTTTACGTACGACATGGACATCTGATCAGTCGTGTTGCTGACATCACTCCTCAAGGAGCTCTTGAAGGAATGGAACCTAGGGCTTCTTTGTTAATTACTCTGTTCATGTGGCTAATCAGGTTATTCACCAGATGCCCAAAGCTGAAGAATGCACCAGTCAGCCAACTGTCCTAAGTTAACCTAGTTGCTTGGATCTGTTGATGCACCATGTAGCATAGAACTGCCTCAGATGTCAACTAAGCCCTTGAAAATTATCTGCGCTGATGTGTAGTTTAGGGCAGTGTATATCTAACTCAAGGAATCAATAATGGATATTCCAGGGTACAGCCCAACCAGATCAAAGTGCTTTCCTCTAAATCAGCAGTTCTCATCCTGTGGGTCGCGACCCCTTTGGGAGGCCGAACGACCCTTTTACAGGGGTCACCTAAGACCATCGGAAAACACATATATAATTACATATTGTTTTGTGATTAATCACTATGCTTTAATTATGTTCAATTTGTAACAATGAAATTGGGGGTCACCACAACATGAGGAACTGTATTAAAGGGTCGTGGCATTAGGAGGAAGGTTGAGAACCACTGCTCTAAATCATAATGTTACTCTCTAAGTGCCTGGTGTAAACAAAGGGGTTTAAAACAACCTTGTGAAACTGTTGATTTTTTTTCCCAAATTTTTTCTTCTTGGATATCTTGTTTCCTCGGTTGTGATTGGAACAGTAGGCTGTGCTGGAGAAAGTGAATGAGGAAAGGTAGGCTGCACTGGATAAAGTGAATGAGGAAGAGAAAAAGAGATAAAAGAAAATGTATAGAAAATGTGACTAAAGAAGACAGGACTCCCTCCCCCTCTCTCTAAAAATCAATGAAAATATATCCTTGGGTGAGGATAAAAACAACAACAAAAAAATATCTAAAGCCAAACCAAGACTCCTTTATAAAATATAATGCATCAGCCCTAACCAGTTTGGCTCAGTGTGCGGACTGAAGGGTCCCAGGTTTGATTCTGGTCAAGGGCATGTACCTTGGTTGCGGGCACATCCCCAGTGGGGAGTGTGCAGGAGGCAGCTGATCGATATTTCTCTCTCATCGATGTTTCTAACTCTCTATCCCTCTCCCTTCCTCTCTTTAAAAAATCAATAAAATATATTTTAAAAATAATAAAATAAAATATAATGCATCAGACATAAATTATAAGAATGATCTTAACTTGCCCTGACTGGTTTGGCTCAGTGGTTAGATAATCAGCCCATGAACTGAAGGGTCGAGGTTTTGATTCTGGGTCAAGGACAAGTACCTTGATTGTGGGTTTGATCCCTGAGTGCAGGAGGCAGCCAATCGATGTGTCTCTCTTACATCTATGTTTCTCTCTCTCTCTCTCTGCCCCCTCCCCACCCCCTTCTATACTGAAAATCAAAGGAAAAAAATATCCTTGGGTGAGGATTTAAAAAAGAAAAAAGAAATGATCTTAACTTGAGCTCAGGAATTAGGAGTGATTTCTAAACAAAGCCCTGTTTTACTAGTCACATGATAAGGACATGTTGTGAAAGATGTGGAGTTGCAGGAGACAGGAAAAAAAAATGAAGACACAGACTCAGAGATCTTAGTTACTCAAATCATGGGAATATTAGAGTTTATTGCCTTGGAGGCAGATAGATTTGGACACTAGTGGAAATCGGATTTGAATTAAGAGCAGAGAGAGATAAGAATTAAGACTTCAGAAGGGCTTGATTGAGCAGTTATGGGATGACAAAGGAGGCACTACTACACAATTAAATTCAAAATTACTTCTGAGATTTGGTTAAAAAATGCCAGAAAGAGTTATTATTTAGTGCCTCTCTCAGACACCACTAATTCTAAATCTTTACGTTGCTTGAATGGAGGCTGAATGGCTGGTGTGTGCATGTACATCTGGCCAATAGTGACATAGGAGCACGTAGGCTCACCATTAGCAAAGACTATCTAGTTTACCACATGTCTCCTTTCATATAGCTTTTTCTCTTCTGGTGAGAAGTCCTTCAAAAAGTTGCCATGATAAGAATAGAAATGTATGGATGTTTTTCTGATTTTAATTTTCTATTTTTATCAAATCTACCCATTGAAGGGGTCAGTCCTGTGACTGACGAGCGTGATGTTCTTTCCTTCTAAGCTCGTGGGTCAAGAGTATAAGATAAAGATGGGGAATCCAACGAAATGTGTTAACCTCAATCAGACTTAACTGTCAATCCATTGGCTAACTTACTTCCAGCTTGAATAACAGTAACTGTCATTCCTCATCACCATCAATACCTACAATAAGAAAAACGAACATTCCTGGGTCACTGACTGTGACTACTGCTCCAAGGTTGTAAGTCCCACTCATCAAGACAGTCCTTGGATCAGCACTCATGATGCCCCAAGTTAGGCATTTGAACCCCTTTAACTGCAAACACTTGGGAGCTGCTGCACATCGGTGCGGCTGGAGAGGAGCAGATATTCTGTTGGAAGAAGATACATGGGATTCTACAGGAGTGATTAGACTAGTTAGGGCAGTGATGGCGAACCTTTTGAGCTCAGCGTGTCAGCATTTTGAAAAACCCTAACTCTGGTGCCGTGTCACATATAGAAATTTTTTATATTTGCAACCATAGTAAAACAAAGATGTATATTTTTGATATTTATTTTATATATTTAAATGCCATTTAACAAAGAAAAATCAACCAAAAAAATGAGTTCACGTGTCACCTCTGACACGCGTCATAGGTTCACCATCACTGAGTTAGGGCTTGCATATCCCACACTCGCCCCTCCACACACACATATGAAAGACTATCATGGGAAAATCTGCCAAACCTAAACCATGATCCCCTCAAGGGGCCATCCTACTGTTAGGGGTAGTGGATGAATCCTAAAGTATGATAGTGACGTATGTCTGAGTCTACAGTGGTCTTGTGCACTTGACATCCAGGCCAGCCTGTCGTAGTGGTCTCCATTAGTGCCTGTACAAAGAAACATAACTGCATGCAGTATTCAACATGTTTTTCTCTACTTATGTGAGTGAACATTGTTTGCCATGCTCCTGTTTCCTGAGTTCAAATAGGTCTGGGATTGTCCCCACCAGCTCTCTCAAAGCCATGTCCTCCTGGATTAAACAATGAGTCTGGCTGAGGGTCCTTGCTCATGGGCACCTGAAGCTTCCGTTAAAGACTAAAATTCAGCCCTGACTGGTTTGGCTCAGTGGATAGAGCATCGGCCCGTGGACTGAAAGGCCCCAGGTTCGATTCCAGCCAAGGGCATGTACCTTGGTTGCGGGCACATCCCCTGGTGTGCATTAGGCAGCTGATCAATGCTTCTCTCTCATCGATGTTTCTCTCTGTCCCTCTCCTTTCCTCTCTGTGAAAAATCAATAAAATATATATAAAAAAAGACGAAAATTCAGCAGATGAGTGTGTGTGTGGTGGGGAGGAGTGAGGGCTGTTCAAACCCTAACTACCCCAGTGCCCCCCCACCCCCCTTGAGGCAGATTAGGAAGTTCTAGCTGCTGAATCCATCAGTTAGGGCAAAGCTGGGTCTACCAGGGACATGCTCTCGATGAAACAGAGCCCTAAGGAACCACAGACAGGAAGGGGAATGGAGTTGCAGACAGGTCAAGTGAAGTGTTCCTCATGAGTGGCACTTTACAAAGTTGACATAGTCCCTTTACAAATGACTCCTGGGAGGACGGTGACAGAGTGGTCAAAGAAAGTTTAGTCGTTAAAGTTTTGATTCAAATGGAGGCCATGTGCCGCTGTACTCTTTTCCCAGCAAAGTCTGGGAAGCCTCTCTGTGCAGATGCCTTGGTGTGTTTTATGCAGAGGTGCTTCCGGGCTCCAGTGCAGCAACATGGGAACTACCTGTGTTTCCCTCTCTGGTCCAGGAACCATGCTGGGCATCCAGACCCTCCAATGGGAGTCTGCAGAAGTTCCAGGCATAAGAGGCCTAGCGAGTCTCACCCACCCACTCTCATTGGAAGGGCACAGTCCCCAAGCCCTTGGCTTCAGCTGTTCTAGAACCGATTTAGCCTAAATCTGCCAGGCTGGGCCACACTGTCCCTGACAATTTTGCCGGGAAGCAGTTGCTGTGTCTGACACCTGGGGGTGGGGATAGAAGGGCAGGCCATGAAGCCAACAACCTTTTCTCATTCTTTTCTAGCAGCCACCGGAAATGAATCGCCTCCTTTGCCGACACGCCCTACTCCGCTCAGCTGGACTGACCCCTGAGGACTCAGGTACAGGAATCCTGTGCGTCTCAGCTCTGGCCTGGTTTCCGCCTCTCGGTGAGTCTCAGCCCCAATTTAATTCCCAGAATCAGAGCAGCTTAGAATGATTTGAATATTATTTTGTATTAAAATAGACTTTTCCTCTTAATTTGTGACTAGAGGCGAGCTTTGGAGAGCAGGCCTTGCGGGAAGAGTCCCCCAAACATCAGGTGTTGGGACTTGGGATTATTTAATATCAAGCCACACTGTTTCAAGTTCCTTTCCTTTCCTCTTTTTCCTTCTTTTCTTTTCCGTGCTAGCCGCCCTGGGCTGCCTCCTCGAAATACTCTCACAGAAAAGCCTGTCTTAACTAGATTGACATGTTGCCCAGGTTAGGAGGTGAGCTGCTTGGGCACAAGCAGGGTGCGGCCGGCCTCGGCCAGCATTGGGGACACAGCCCTGTGAGCCCCCTGCCCCCTTGCTTCTGTTAGGAGGACAAGGGGTTTCTGACTGTCCTGTCACCCGAGCACAGACCACAGAAAGAGCCCAGCTCCCGCCAATGAGGGGCTGAAAGAGCAGTTGCTTGAGTCAGGAGCCCGCCCCCTCGGTGTCCTTCACACCGGAGCCAGCCAGGCTCTGCTCCCTCCCCCCTCATCCCCCCCCCCCACTTCAGAATGAGGCACCACACCAGGTGAAGAGGGACATGGAACACTTTTTAATGTCAAGTCAGAGACAACCCCTCCCTCCCCGAACCCCAATCCCACTTTCCCTCATCACACCCAGGACCCCTCCCCGAGGCCTCTCTGGTCCCCAGACTCCGGGGGGAGGAAAAAAGATTATCTAAAAACTGCATTTTCTTCTCTTTCATACACACGCACACACAGGTGGGACATTAAATAAAAGAAACCAAGAGGGTTCAATTCTCCAGTGGTCACAAAGGCATCAGAGATTCCCATAGGGCTCGAGCGAGTGGTTACTGGCTGTTTAGCTGGTTCGGTGGCGTGTTTGTGCGGGGTGGAGGGGGCGGCGCCTGGGCGGACCCCCTCCGGGAGCCACACCTGGAACAGAGGCTGTGCCTGGTGTTAGTGTCGTTTTCTCGTTTCACTGCGTATAAATGTCTCTGACATGTGGATAACGCGCGCAAAAAAAAGGAAAAAAAAGAAAAAAAATAGAGGCAGGAGCTGATTACACAAGTACCAGTAAACTCTATCATCTTTTAGAAGGTCAACACACAGCTAACGCCATATACAGCATGCAGTAATGTCTGAGAACGGACCTGCTGAGAAAGAAAAGGGCTAGAACTCTTAACAAAAAAAATATATGTATATATATGTATATATATACTGTATAATATATGTCATCAAAAGAAGCAGAGCCAACAAACGCAAGGTCGGGTGCAGACCCCCCTTCCACTTCTAAACAGCACGGAGAAGCATAGTCGTGTCTGCATTAAATGCCAGGATGAGGAGAAAGCTGTAGCGCTGGTGGACGTGTTGGTTAAATCATATGTGTGTGTGTGTTTTGTTTTGGTGGATTCGCCAAATCCTCACCGGGCGGTTAATGCCCGGCGTGGGGTCCACCGGTTGTAAACCTAGTTAAGAAGTGCACTATTCATTTTCATCTTTTTTTAACAAACATACTTCTCGTCACCCCTTTCATGTGTGTGTGGTGTTTAGTGTTGCCTTGTTTTCCAGCTAAGTCCTAGACTCACGTCAGAAAATAGAATTAACAGTGAACCAGAATCCCTTATGATCCACGATGCCCATGTAGTGAGGGGAACACAGAGGTGAACGGGGCCTGTGTGACTGCTGACTGTGGGGGTTGGTCGCCATCAGGCTGTTTTGTTTAGGTTCCTTTTTATTGATTTGCTTTTTAAATTTGCGTTTCATAGCACACACGACAGTGGCACAGTCTACAGCGGGGGGGACCCCGCGGCACATGGGGGCGCACGCCTCACTCTGTGTTCGCTTCTAGTGACGGATAGAATTTGGGGACGGCCGACTCCAGAATTTTCCTTGGCAGGGGCCCTGGAGTGGGCAGAGCGGCTGAGCCCTCCTCCACCCCGGAAACAATGCAGCTGGCGGGCGGGTATCCAAAGCCAGGGGTGCGCTCCTCCCATGTGGGAAAAGAAAGAAAACTCAGCTGTACCTACATATCTGCCCGGCCTGCAAGGCGATCGATTTTTCGATTTCCTTTTGAAACGTGATTTCCCAAAGTGTTCTTTGTTCCCCTCCCTCGAATGTGTGTCCCAATCGTCTGTGTCTCGGAATGGCGTTTGATTACATCTTAGTTGGAAAGGGGTTTGCTCTTGCTGTCGGAGGTGCCTTTGCTGGAGGGTTGGTGGTTGCAGTGGCGGCAGCTTCCCTGGTGCGGGCGTGGCACTCACATCAAAACTGGCGCAGGAGGAAGACCAGGAGAGGTAGCAGCCAAAGGCAGCCTGCCCTCCTCGGCGTCCCGTTGCTCACCTCGCTGACGGCGCCTGGGCCTGTGGAGAGAGCACATGAGTCACGAGCAGCCAGAGGAAGAGGGAATGGCGGTGGCCTGGTCAGCTGTCCTTAGGCCTCGCCTCTGGTAAGCCATCTCTCTAACTGGGAGCAGCATCTGGGTTTGTTCCCGCTCCCTATGTAGGGGCTGCGTGACACATGGACCCTCTACAGCTTCCATCCCATGATACACTCTGTATAATGGGGAGCTTTCCCTGGCCAGGAGAACACATGAGGCTCAAGTCCAAGTGTGCTGGTGGCCAGGACTCCTTTCCTGTGTACTAGGCTAAGGCTATGGCTCAAGGTCAAGTTCAAGGAGAAGGTGGCAGGTGTATGAATAGCCCACACAGAGCTTCAATAGCATAAGACCCCCTGTCGTGTGCACCATCACTCAACCACTTCTGCGCACTGCCTGCCTCACCCTTCCCATGGCCCTGCAGCAGCTCCACCTGTTGCCGGAAGGACCTGTTGGACACCACAGTCTGCCTCCCTGCAGCAGCTGCTGCTCAGGCTCAGCGTCCTCCTGCCAATCATCACCTCTCTGGGCTGAGCCCGGCGTCTGCCTGGAGCACTTGGCCTCTTCCCATCTGGCCTCGCTAATAGCAGACCTAGCTCAGGCATCACGCGCCTGAAAAGCCAGACCCAGCTCCCAGGAAGTGGAGGTGGGAACCAGGAAAGACACAGGTGGCCTCTAGCTGTGTCCATGGACGTGCGGGAAGGTTTAGGTGGAGATGGGGATGCGGAACCGCATGGAGAATGTCTGAGTGGGAGGTAGATGGCACCTTCCCCTGGGAGGCACACGCCACCGGGCCTGCTGACAGAGACTCTGAAATGAAGCCAAGAATGAGAGGCAAGAAAACTGAGGTCATAGAATTCCCCAGGAGCTTTCCTATCACCGTGAAGCATAAGCCAGGAGGCTCCCTGAGCCTGGGGGGCAAGAATGCCCACAACCGATGGAGCTACGGTTCCTGAACAGCACACAGGGGTGTTGAGGCCCTGACGAATCAGGCACCCAAGACAGAGGCGCCTGCATGCTCAGCTGCACTGAGTTTAATGGGACTGTGTCCCTACTAAGTGCATGTGCTCACGGGGGTGAAGGAACCTGCCTCGGATGCCAACCATCGGAGACACTTCTGGCTCCTTGGTTCCAGGTGAGATTATTCCTTGGGATCCGAAAACTCGTGCCTGGGAAGCGCTGCCCATATGGTTGTATTTCCTGGGCGGTGGGGAGAAATCTCTGACTACGGGGCAGTGGCTACATCATGATGAGCTTGAAGTGCAGCATGCTCTCCAGCCTCCCGTGTCCTGTGGTCCAGGACCTGACATTCCCAATGCCCGGATTTCTTGGCAGGGCGCGTTCTCATAATGAGAGGCACAAGGGAGGCTATTTACGCTCCACCCTGCAGGGAGGGGACCTTCCCGGCTCCACAGAACCAAGGCCTCAGCCAGGAAGGCCCTCCTCATAGTCCCTCACGGTTGCCTGTGTCACTCTGTTCTCTCCCCGGTATGCTTCTAGGCCAGTGGTCGGCAAACTCATTAGTCAGCAGAGCCAAATATCAACAGTACGATTGAAATTTCTTTCGAGAGCCAAATTTTTTAAACTTAAACTATATACGTAGGTACATTGTTAACTTAATTAGGGTACTCCTAAGGCTTGGGAAGAGCCACACTCAAGGGGCCAAAGAGCTGCATGTGGCTCACGAGCCGCAGTTTGCCGACCACGGTTCTAGGGTGAGAGGCTCTGCTTTCCTCCTATGAGGGAGCCCCTCTGCTCTGGACCCCCAAAGTCCTTCAGACCAAGAGCCTGGCCTGTGCCTGAGGCAGACCCTAAGGCAGCGGTCGCCAACCGGTGGTCCGTGAGGTCCGAAAGGTTGGCGAACGCTGGTCTAAGGCACATGTGGGTTTCACAGTCCATGGGACCAGCAGGCCTTTGTGGGAGCTGGGCTCCATGTTCTCAGGCAGAGGTAGTGGCTGTATTCCATCACCCCACATGCACATGGCATAAGGACTCAATGTGCCCTGCACGCCTGGCACATGGCACGCCTGGCCCCACATGCACCTGTGGGCACATGGCTATTCCTCTCTTGCTCCCCTCAACACTCACAGCTTTGAGACCCAGCCCCCATTCATGCCGGCTCACTCCGCCCTCTCCCTCCTCCTGGCCATGCCTAGCAGAGGCCCTGTGGGAAGAGAGAGGGGAACGAAGCACAGTGCCCAGCACGTGGATGCTCTCCTGCATTCCCTCCTTGCAGGCCCCCCACCAGGGGAGATGCCACAGGCCAGGCACGCCGCCCAGCAGGGCCTGGCTCGTTACCTTACCATGAAAGGAAACCTTGTTTTCGGGCGAGGGACTCTGCAGCACCCAGGGGAGGCTGTTGTGACTGGTGCCCCCCGCCCCTGGGCACCTCGCCTGGCAGGGCAGTCTGCAGGTGCTCCTCTGTGGGCCTGCTGCCTGCTGGGTGGCACCACAGGGAGCCCATCAGGAGGGGTCCCAACCTGTTGTGTCAGAAAACTCTTCCCATAGAAGCAGGAAAAGGCCGTCAAGTGCCCAGAGCCTCCTCTTGGTGCATTGTTACCCTGGACAAGCTCCAGGGAACTCTCTGGTGCTCCTGTCTCCTGTCCCTGACCCACAGGGGCTGCCTCTCACTGTGGGAGCCTCATCCAGTCTGCCTTCACCCCATCCACACATGATCCCCTCGCCCTAACCCGTCGTCGGCAAACCTCGGCTCATGAGCCACATGCAGCTCTTTGGCCCCTTCAGTGTGGCTCTTCCACAAAATATCACGTTCGGGCACGCACGTACAGTGCGATTGAAACTTCGTGGCCCATGTGCAGAAGTCTGTATTTTGTGGAAGAGCCGGTATTTTGTAGAAGAGCCATACTCAAGGGGCCAAAGAGCCGCATGTGGCTCGCAAGCCGCGATTTGCCGAGCTGCAGTTTGCCGACCACTGCCCTAACCCATCCTTTTTCCAGCACAAAGCTGCGCAGGAGGGGGGAGACAGGCAGGGGTTCCCACACATCCTCTCTGAGGTGGCCAAGCAGCTCTCCTGTCCCTTTCCATGAAGGTTCCCACTCAGGCCTTGACCCCTCAGGCTTATTCTTTATGATAATTCCAGGGTCACGTCTCTACCATTGCAAACGGATCACGTTACAAATCTTCCAGATTCCTCTGGCCACCACAAATCTCCCACCTGTCTGGCAGAGTGCTCCACATTTCATAATCTGCTCGCTTTTCTGCCTCCTTAGCTATTCTTCCTGCCAGATGTCTTTCAGTGTCTCCCTTCCCCCAACTCCGTGCAACATGAGCTCATGTCACCTGCACACACTCGTACATGCACACACGAGCATATACCTGCCAACCATGTTCCTTTCCCTTCTCATCCTCACACCCCCTGTCCCTGAAATGCTTTTTACTCAACTCACTCACACCTTATTCCAGGTCCTGTTCTGGCCTCCAGTCACCTCCTCCAGGCAGCCTTCCTTGACTTGCTGTGGTTTGTTTCCATGGCACCACATGCATCCCACTATTGAAATGCCTACCACCCTGCATTATACTTCTCTGATTCCCTCCTCTGTGCTGCAAGCTTTTTAAAGCCCCTGTGTCTAATGGGGCCCTTGGCGGGTATTTGATAAGTGCTTGTTGGAGGGGAAAAAAAGAGCCAGAACATTGCGATACATGTAGATAAGCCCATATTTTCTGTTTTTCTTTCTCTTAAGATTCTATTTAAAGAAAAAAGAAATAACTACAAAACAAACTCTTGTCCTGCCTTTTGCTTTACCTCAATTTTCTCTTTCAAACACCGTTTCCCTCTTTTCCAGTAGAAGTCACTGCAAAGCCCTTGGTTGAGGGAGGGGTACCTCTGGGTGGGACATCAGGCCAAGTGCGTGCATTTAGGGGGGTCCCAGCCCCAAGAGCCGCTAGCACGCTGAGGACTGCTGTCCGCACTCCCACAGGTGGAAACTGAACCTCAGAGCTCCAGTGACTTCCGCTAAGGTCCCTCTACTTCTATCTCCAAACGCAGTTTTCCTTCCCCCTCCCTCACAGCTATTCCACGTGACTCACTCCTCTGTGGGAAATACAGAGGGGAGGGAGGACCTGGGCCACCCCATCCGGGCACTGGTTAAGGTGGGGACCACACAGGCCATCCCCCGCTGCCCAGCACATGGAAGAATGCTATGACATGACCTTTTGTCCAGGCATTGTGTCCAGTCCTGGAGCAAGGCTCTCCCAGAGCCTTTGTGGCCAGGTGACAGCTCTGCCCATCTACCTGGTGGCATGGGCCACACCTGTGAGACCTCCTCCGATAGTCATCCAGTCACACCTCCACTCTATGCTGGATGCCTTTATTGCCTCTGTCTCACTAGAGAGCTGCAGAGGCCTAAAGAGACTATCAGGACAGGATCCAGGAAAACTAATGAGTGTCAATTATTCATCAGAAACATCTGGCAAGAATGAAAGCCTCAAACAAGACCCATTTTATTCCTAGCCTAGTGACTCACACAGACCTTCCCCCTTCCTTCCACTTTCCTCTTCCTCCCACCACTTCCCTTCCAGTTCTACGTTAGAGCAAGATAGCGCGGGAGAAAGAATGGGGTAAGCCAAGGGCAGCATGCAAGGTCTAAGAAGATGGGAGCATTAGAGCATCGATGCGCAAGGAAAGAGGCAGGCCTGGTACAGGGGCACCCAGATGTGGAGACATTCCGGGCACTGACAGGTGCTCATTAGTGCTGCCAGCAGAGAAGTTAGACTCCTGCCAGGGGAAGCTACCCAGGGAGAACGGCATGTCCTCGGGGATGGGTTAATCTGAATTGAGACAGCCCCAGGGCCGGGTGGAGGCCCACTGGGCTGCTCCCTGTGGTTAGCTCAGAACAGAAGGCACCTTGAGAGCAGGCAGAGTTTGGCATATCCCATCCTCACCAAGGCAGTCGCTGCCTAGGAAATAAACATACCAACCTTTCCAAGGGGTCAGGGCTGTAGATTTCACTTCTAAAAGAAATGAAA